ACCAACATCCCACTTACAATTTTAATTAAATGTATTTGGACATGCCTGTCCAACAGCGTAAGTACTAGACTTTCAACTTTTTACTATGTTACATTTCAACACTTTCTAAATGACATTGTGTATGCATACTAAGTATCTAATGATAATGTTTAATTTGCCATGTACTTAAACGTCAAATACCGGTATACGAGTGTGAAACATTATGAATATGAGTAGACTAGCGAGTGAGAGAATTCAGTTTTACACCGCTTTTAGCAATATTCCAGCAATATCACGGCAGGGGACACCAGAAATGGACTTCACACATTGTGCCCATGTGGGGAATCGAACCCGGGTCTTCGGTGTGACGAGCGAACGCCTTAACCACTAGGCTACCGCCAAGGACTAGCGAGTGAATGAATAAGGCTTTACATCGCTGTGAACAACAGTCAAGCAATATCACCGCTGCGACCGCAGGCTCGCTGACTTGGTTGACACATGTCATCGTATCCCAATAGAGTAGATCGAGGCTCATGCTGTTGATCACTGGATTATCTGGTCCAGACTCGATTATTTACAGATTTATTTAGGTAGTGCCCACCACATATATTATTACGAGAAGATTACACGAGCAAGTGGGTCATACGACTTACACGAACCGAGTGAGAAATGTTGTATTGCCCGTGCAATAAACTAACAGTTCCATACAATGAACAATTTGTTTTGCAAATATTTGCTCCCCTATAATCCACAGCAGTTTTCCGACGTGTTTGTCCTGGGTGAGATACTTTAGGTGAGATCTACACACCTACACGAGTCAGACAATGGTTTTCGGGTATACCAGAGTTCTTGTAAACCGACGTAACAACAAATCATTTCGCTACTTAGTAAACTACGTTTAAAACGAACTCAGTGGGACTAATAATTTAAGATCGGTATGCTTACTGTTGTTCTTTACGTCACACTCAGCAATATTTCAGCTATATGAGGGCCTACTGTAAATAATCGAGTTTGGACCAGACAATCAAATGATCAACATCGTGAGCATCGATGTACATTACTGAGACACGATGACATGTGTCATTCAAGTCAGCGCGTTTGACCACCCGATGGGTCAGTTGCCTCTTACGACAAGCATGGGTTACTGAAAACCAATCCTAACCCAGATTTTCACGGGTCTGTAACAGTACTGGCTATAGTAAAGAGGTTTGGTTTAACGCAGTTTTAAACAATCTTCCAGTTACATCACGGTGTGTCAGCTTCATGGCGGAGGAATGAAGGAAGTGATCTTGGAAGATTGGTCAAACCCACGGCATGGTGTTGACAAACCAAGAAACATAACCGGGGCAAACCGGTTTTCGAACATATGATCTTAAGCTTCTGCCATGCACAGATAAAATATTGGAATGGAATAGTGTTGAAGTACCTCAGAGGGCTGAGCAGGTGACACGACGGGCCTCTGTAGTCGGAACTGAAACATACAAACAGACAGGTACTTGTCTCTGTGTACACTCATCTGATAGCGTAAACATAGTGGCTACCGATAAATAATTCTTTCACGGATACCGAAATACAGCTTGTAATGTAAATTATACTTCCCATCAAAAGTTTAGACTCACCTAAAGCACTCATTATATGTTATGTACATATATACTCATGCCAATAATGGTTGTCACCCCCTCCCCACCCCAACCCCCACACTTCACACCCCACCCCTCTCAATTAAACAAATTGAAGGGGCGACAACCATTATATTGGCATGTGTATATATGGTTACATCGAAGATGAATTCCTCCACTAGCTTAGGGGAACCAACTGCAAACTTTATGCAGATGAATTGTACGAGGATTGTGCATCAAATTGCTAAAAGGCATGTGCATATATCGTTCATGTGAACAGCTGCGTTTTGGTGCAAAGTTTTGTTAAGAATTCGCCAATTTTCACTGATTTTCATCATTTACAGTAATGTACAGTTATATTCGACTCACATCCTCCTCAGGTTTCAGAGTCTGGTATAGGAAGTCCCAGGAGAAGTTGGAGTCGCGAGCAGGCTTGTGGTCGTCGTCCCCTTGCGCAGACGAAGATGACGTCGCTATGAAATGGAGGAGACACAGACTGAGTCGAAGCTGAAGTCGCATTCACAAACATTCCACCCAAACACCAAACTGTGATAGCTCCTCATCCACCAGTAGGGAAACTATATCGCCCTAACTAACCTACATTTCAGATGTCAGGTGAAATGAGGTTTAACGTCCTACTTGAGAATATTTCGCTCATGTGACGATGTGCATGCGTGTGTATGTGGCTGCTTGTACTAGCTGGTTTTATTGTCCAAGCTCACTGAGATACCATACCCCACTCAGACACATTATACTGACTCCGAGCCGACTAGTCCTTGTTTTACCCATTAATGCCGAGCGCCAGGCAGGGAACAACAAGTACCATATTTTAACGTCTTTTGGTATGACGCGGCCAGGTATCGAACCTGCGAACTTTCGCTCTCCGGGTGGACGCTCTATCCACTACGCCACGTAGGCGGTCCTATATCTAAGAAATAAAGTTTGCTGTAGTGTAAAAATGGATATTGTGATGAAGCTGAAATACTGTTCAAAGCGGCGTTCAAGTCACTCACTCACTTTCAGCAATGAACATTTACAATAGCAGAGGGTCACTGAATACATACGGGCGTCGGCTCGGTGCGTGTGTGGTATAAACTCCAGGGGGTTGTTCTTCTTGGGGGACCTGTAGAACTCAGGGCTGGAAGCGCCCCCTAGCGTTGTCCCCTTAAATGTGTTGCCCGGGGTGCCCCAGTTACTGTAGTATTTATTATACATCCCGCGCATGACGTCATCGTTGCGTCGACGACCGTGACTTCTTAGCGCAGATGTCAAACTTCCGAACGCTGGTCTAACATTGTATCTGCAATTGAGAGGCATTCGTAACATTAGGGCATTAGGTTCTTGAATCGATCTCTGTAATATGTACACACCAAACAACTCAACCACACCCAACCCCCACCCCCACCCCAATAAAATTTAAACATTTAAATAAATAATATTCAAATTAAATAGAAGAATAAAGAAAATTATAAAATTATAATAACAAAATAGCATTCAAAAAAGAGTTTAACCCTCTTCAATTTGTCAAAAATACATATTATAAACCTTCAAAATCGTTCTGTTAAACTATTTACAACTGGTTTTTCTTTTCAGTATATTGAGTATTTTCTCAAAGATATCATACATCTTCTAGTGGAAAACGATGTAAATCCGTCAGCATAAAATTAAAACCCGTCCTGCCTTATGTCTCAATATTTCGATAATTTCCCGAACAGGTTTTCTTACGATTGAAAATTCAAGGTGTTGAGATGACAATTATACGGAATCATTTATAAAAAATTGTCGGAAATGTCGCCTGTATCTTAGAACCAACCGTTTTTCACATCTCCTCCTCAAATA